GGGAAACCTATAACTTAGTCGATACGAAGTTCGCCGGGTCAGCTAGTATATATATATATATATATATATATATAATTATTAGAGATATATATATATATATCAATAAACCAATTGTTTTGTCGCGCTTTATTATTATAATACGATTAGGCTTAAATTTTAACCTGAATTAGAATTTGCGTTTTAAAATTATTTGTGTTGAGGTTCACAATGTATTATTTTTATAATTCTAAACTAAATATAGTTTAGTAAATAATGACACATATTACATACTTTAACAGACTCTGCCGTCGGTTTTTATTCTTGGCTATTGGGCCTCGACGGAGGCAAAGCCGATCCAAAAACCTAATCGTCTACATTGTACTTACTTTAACAAATTTGGTGATCCAAAGTAGCTTTTTGAAAACGATTCTTTGTTCTATAAGGAAAGTAGTCTCATTTAAAAGTTGGTACCTTTATTAATTAATAAAAATACAGAGCAAGATTAGGGTTCTCATATAATTTGTGTTACCTAAAATGTGTGTTACCTAAATAATTAATAGTCAACATTTAAAAGATGTAGACCATGCACCAACTGATTATAAAATGTGAATATAACTTTTTGTTAATTCGATTTAAAGCTATTACAACACGAACCCTGTGGTTGTGAAATAGGTATCTGCGTAAAAATTTCCAAATAAACATAAAAAACAATGTATTTATAGTAATACTAAATCCTGTACCTGCCTGTAGTATATGTTATGAAAATGCTTCTGTATACTCACAGAAATAACCAATGGTACTCAATGGTGGTTGAGGTGCCAATGGTTTATTTGATTGAAACGCAGCGTTACTACTGTAATACTTTATAACGCTAATTTCAAATAAATAGTCAGAAATAAACTATCACAGTATTATTTTTGTAATTGTGATTTGTATTTAATTTTTAAGATAGTTTACAATCCAAATATATGTTGTTTACTCCACACGACTTTTATTCAGTGGCTAACAAACAAATGGCGATTAAATTTTTAAAAATGACATGCAAAAAGATGCCAAAAAGCAACGATGTTACTAAGGGATTCTATGCTAGGAATATTGATCTGTTGTCATAGAATAAATAAATATGTAGAGTTACATACTTAACACCACACTACATTATTTTGACGAACTTCCCACGCAAGGATTTAGTCCAGAAAACAGCTGTTTGCCGCCAGCTTATTCAAATGGGGTTTCATTGCGTACTACTGTACTGCAATGAGTTTTACCGGACACCAATCAGCTGATTATACTGTATTTAGGTGTCAGTGAGTGGTTATAAACAAAAACATAAGGTTATGACTAGTGATTTTTAGTCCTTTAGTTGGTGGAAATATATAAGGATTTGTACGGATTTAGTAGTATGGCGTAAACTATTGTACGCAACTCGTCCAAAATGTGTGTACCGGACTCGTATGGTAATCCGAGACCACTCTCGTCCGGTAAACACTTATTTTCAGAACTAGTAACGTAGTATACTATTTTGTGCCGTGATGGTGGAGCTTCAAATATCAAAACGCAAAACGCGGCACATTCATGCACTGCTAGAACGAAAGGCGCATTGCCGATTTGAGTACTGTACACATCTCAGAAACAATATACACTAGTGTTAAAATCATAATGATGGATACATTGTTCGTTAAAATAACTTGATAATTTAACAAATAATTTATATTTTAAGTAATTTACTATCTTTGGCATTTTTACATTTTGGAATTATTTCGTCATTGTGTTCCTATAAAAAATAACAAACGCATTAAAATAGATTAGTTTATTTATAATTGTATGCTGCACACCATTAACATGGTAGAATAATTCTCAACTACATTACCGTAAAAGGATATAAGCTAATGTTTACAATCTGTTAGAAGGTTTTCAATGTTTACATTTTTAAAATCATCGTTTCACCTTAGCCATTTTAAGGCCACAACATTGCTATAATTTTTAATTTTGTAAAATTAATATTATCTGATCCATAACGTAAATACTATATAAAGGTGGCGTGCATGTATAGCTCTAGTAACACTGAGGACTCTATTGATGTTAAGTAAAAAAGGCTCATTCATAAATCATGAATTTTGAAGGTTAAACTGTTAATCAGCTTTACAAAGTGCAGAGTCCTACAGAATGAAAATAAATTTTAAACTGTCCTACATTTCCACACCCTTTGATTTTATAAATGTTGATGCAGTAAACTTCAGTTTCAGTGAAAATCCCTTACAGGTATGTAGTTACCACCGAATTATTCGCGGTATGTAGTCTGGGACTTGTACTACATTTTCATTAAAATTAAAATTACTTGTTTTATGGGATGTTTCTGCTGTGACACCGAGCGGGTAGCTTGTTCTTACGTTAATTTATATTTCACGTTTATTATACCATTGTTATGAAAATCAGAATGATACTGTGAATTAATCTATTAAACTTTTCAGTGTTAATTATTATGAAAAATTATTGTAAATTATTTCATTTTGTTGTTCAATTGTTAATTTTATTTAGCGTTAGTACGTAACTATAATGCTTTCGCTCGTAACGCATTTCTATTTTTTTTTTACATTTGTATTTGTACATTGCATCTACATATTGCCACGCATTTAATTGTTTGTACAAATTCAGTTAAAAAAACGAATGAAAATGAAACATCAAAAAGCTTTTATAAAACATTCGAGATAAATTTAGCTGTTTTCCCGAAAAACGAGTTGGCTTTAAGTTTGCACGTATATTCTGGTCTGGGTCTGGGTGGTCAACCTGGGACTGGGAGGATGGGATGCTGATCCAGTAACTGCTCCAAGGTCGATTTTTGGATCCGCCCCGCAGATGACATTTTGGTTTCGTTTCCACAGATTCCGTTATCATTATGCAACAGATGCTCTTTCCGAAGAACCGCACCCGGGTCGACATTACCAGATTTAGATCTTCCCAGTGGGTGCGGCTTCTTCTGCTGCCCTACATCGGCTCTTTCAAGGTTGGTATCAACATCAAGTACTGAATAAATTACTTATAAAGTGTTGGAAAATAGTCGTTTCGGTGAATCATGGGTCATTTTGCGTCTACCTTTTGTTTTAACCTCCCTCAATTTCCTAATGTTAAAATAAAAACAACAACCTTGTAAATGGAGTTTTTTGTAATAATTCGAGGTTCTTGGTGGTGTACGCAAACTTCGTCTATCAAATTCCACTATCTTAAAGGTCAGGCCTTGTCTCACCCTCGTCAACATCATCCTGGCGGGCTGTACGCAGTCTTCGCTAAATTCAAACTGTACGCAAACTTAGCGACACCGTTTTTATGTAATATTTTTTACCTACGACAGTTTTTAGCGAATTTTCCATATAGAGAATAAGCTATTGCCGTAGCTCAATACAACGTATATGTGACTCGCATGGTAAGTCCGAGACCCGGGACCGATTTACCTTTTCATTTTGTTCGGTAATACCTACAGAATAATCTTTTACAATATCATCCGTGTTTTTTATGTATCACTAGAAATTTTTATATATCGTGAATCAATGCTTAGGTTTTAAATTGACTTCCAAGGCGCTGTTTGGTATCCTAGAAAAGAAGTATTAGTCAACAGATTGGAGCTATCAGGCAAATGATCACGTCCGTATGTGGTTGAATTTACTTCGGTTAAAACACATCTGACATTTTGCACTTATTCGATTTGCCAGCAATGACTGCCCACATTTCTATTTCTGGGCTTCATCAAATGTCAAATATGGGGCTTACACAACCCCTTTACCGGTACTTTCAATAATGAAGCTAAGGTGATTCAAATTGGAAAACCGTAAACTGATTTCCGCTGGTCGATTGCTGGCTGGCTCGCGGAAAACCGCAAACTACTTTGCTCCTTGGCGAATTGGTACTACAGTACCATTACTTGGGACTACAAGTGTAGATTCTTTATTACCGATTGAAAATATAGTAAATATATTTTGATGGTACTGAATGGTCTGATTTTAATTTTGCAAGATTCGTGCTGGGATTACTGACAGTCACAAACATATGTTGATGAAACAACTTGAGTTTTGAACTACTTAGGTAATTAATTATACACAAAGGATTCAATATTGCTTGAGGTGCGTAGCCTATAACACCAAACCAAGGGTTGTTGGCTTGAAAGGTAAATTGCTGTGATCAGACTGTAAATTGAGCAATCATTGATTGATCTAGAGTGAATAAAACCACCTCGAATGTAGACGAGAATTTAATTTGTGGTTTCATAATTTAATTTTAAATAACAGTGTAGACAATCCAGCTAGTTTAGCCTTCATAGCATTTTATAGCCTTTATATGTAGGCCTAGCATTACTTAACAATTATAGTGGTGAGAATGGATTGTTAATTATTGTTCAAAATATTGGTTGCACTAAATCAACACTAACACCTCGAGTGTTGGAGGTGACCATTTTCTTTCACGCTATAGTTTACCTACAATATGAGACAATTTTAGTTCGGAATTTTAGTAGGGTTTGGTTAAAAAAATGTTATATACAACAGAAATGAGTATTTGATATCTGCTTCTGTTACATCCTCAACTAAACTAAACTACGTTTATTTGTCAATAAAAATGTATACAACCATTAGATTATTATTTTACCACCTACCGTACTTAGATGGGAACCCAACTAGGCGTATTTTAACCCAAATGCGAGTGAAGGATGAGGATAGAATGAATTTCACGTTTTGTAACTTTATTATTGGCTAAACAAGCTGTTTCTATAACCAGGAACAATATATTTAAACATAAATAATTAAGAATACCTGGTTTTTAACCATTAGAAAGCTTTTTACTTTACTCAGGATTGAACCGGCAACTTTTGGATTGCTAGGTGAGCACTGTAACCATTCAGTTTACGTGCTTCAGCAAACTTTACTGGTCTGTTTCGAAACAACGATTTTCTTTTCAACAATAGTACAGAAACCAACTGTTTCCTGTGATGTGTGGTAAAATATAGTATTGCTTAACAAATAAAAGTTTCAACAAACCTTTCCTCTGGGCCAGTAGCACCTCCGTTCGTTCTCTGACAAACACGCCATGTCCTCCGGTTCAGTTCTGTACGCCCAGTCGATGGAGGTGCCAAGGAAGTTGAGGAACATAGAGGGTACCTGGGTGCCTGTGGGCTCATTCTCCCCGGCCTCCACCAGAAGTACTCGCCAGTGGGGCACCTCCGACAGTCTACTAGCGACCACGGCCCCCGCGGAACCGGCACCGACGACGATGAAGTCGTACTCTCTGTCGGGCAAGTCGCGGGACACGGGACGGCCGCACGGGTCCTCCAGGTCACACTGGGAGCGGATGAACACCTCCAGTAGCCCCATGAACAGCATGAAGGTAGAACCCCCACACGTGCTGGCCAGGGTCGGCCCCGGCTGCGTCACCGGGCAGTTGCAGTTCATCTGGAAAGAACAGATTCTTAGAAGATCTCCAGAAATATGTTAACAAAATCGGAATGTAATAACTCTAAAATTAATATGAAACCTCAGCGGAGAGTAGTGGTCCGTGAGATTTTTGTGTAGTTTTGTGTTCTTTAGCTTTAGCTGGATTTGTGTATTAATTTTGTTTTGTGTGTTCATTTTGAAACATGACAAAGTGGGCTTTCTTGCACTGATTATAGTACAGAAAGCTGCTAATTGCTGCATTTACTTACTTTGGTGCACACTTTTCACTTTGTCGTACACCAGTATTCCAACCAAACAACACAAACCATTGTGCTTTTATTATGCACGTAATCCGTGTACGCTTTGAAATACGTTGGCAACACTTAAAGATGCTACGACTACGATCAGGTGGTGCAGCGTTTCCCATTTCGTTCAATGTTTGGATTTAACCTAAGTGTTGTATAGTGTTTGAAACAGTAATTATTAATACGTTTTATAGTAACTGTAGGAAAATATAATGTGTAGCGCGAGTGCACTCGAGAAACTTTCACACTCCCCGGCTCGTGCGTAAACATTTCTCTCTTCGCCCACTAGTTACACAAATAACTATTAAATAATTGCCAATTAGCTATAACAATCAAAACTATTTCCAAGAATGTTTAAACTTTTTGATCTACGGAATACAGGGATATCGATTTGGAAGGTTTGATGTTCTCATAACACCTTTTTCTGATAGTTTTGTTCAGTCATTGTCATATGAACCCTGTACTAATGATGCTACAATTATAATCTTCGCCCATACCATCGGAAATTAACCATGACCAGAAGCACTAGAAGGACTTCAGTTTTAGTGTTAAGCTCGGACTTTGACAAGGCCTTGCTGAGCTCACATTAACGCATACAATGAGCACTTCACCAAGTTGTCTCCGACTTCAAATTATAAAGTAATAGACCTTGATTCCTTTACGCTCCATTGGCTAGGATAACTACCTCCTTCCACGTTTTAATGCGCAGTCATATTGCAGTAAGGTAGAAATGTATTCGGTAATGAAATAAAACACTAATTTCTTCTTACGTAATAAAATTTATCCGACATGGTTTCGAATGGTTTTTCTCATTTTTGACCCTCAAAACAAAACATTTCCCAATTTTTCTCAAAACCTGTTTAAAAAGCTTAAAAAACACCTAACGGCTCTCCGTTACCAATAACCGTACAAAAATACTTTGATATACTAAATTAATTGTTTTTTAAGCCCTGTAAATTTAGGCCTGTAAATTATGATTCCCATGTTATTCTCATGGAGAATATTGTAAATTGTTTTTGTTTGCTTGTTTATGTGTATGACATCTTTTGAGATGAGTCAGTAAGCAGTACATGTTCAAATTCACAAATTCAAACTCAGACTCAAATTCAGACCATTTCTTAATGAGGGAAAAGTGTCGTTCCAGCCACGAATGATGCTGTCTGCCAAAACTTATGAAATCGAGTGAGTCAGTGCATTCAAAATAATGAACGCTATTTGCCCGACACATTTGTTTAAACCGAGTAAACATAAGTTTCCAATACTATTCTGTGTGTTGTATTAGGAAGAACAATTTTATCTGTACAAAATTACAAGTGTTGTAATAAGTTCCTGCCCTGATCTGTAACACTTACCAAGCTCCTGGTTTGTCAAAGATGACAAACTGTTTCGTTCATTTTGGCAATTAAGTCTCGAAATGGTGATGTCGTATAGTTTGCTACATGAGAAAGCAAAATCTTGACCTTCTTGACCTTAATCGCCACCATGGCCTTCATTGTAATATCAATCTCTGATGGTGCTAAAATGGGATACCTCTACATTCTCCTGAAGGTTCGAATTTTGCAATACACCTTTATTTTAAGATACTATTGTCCTGTGAAACAATCAGTTTGAAGTTATTTTCAAGCTTTAAACACATCTATCAAATTTAGCAGAAAAATACTCCCCAATCACTAAAAGAACTTCCTCAATCCTATTTATTAGTAAAATTTTGTTGGTGATGATTTTTTTTATTTAAAGAATTATTTCGGGAATTTTTCTTTGGATCAATAAAACAAAGTTTTCATGACAGTTAGAGATCTGGAATCTGATCCCGTGCTTAGGTGAGAAATTCTGTTAAATTTATCTTAGAATTTGTTGATTATTATTGTATGGACTTGTTCAATCTTATATTTTCGAGCCTTGTAGTAAAATTTATAAATTATTGTAAATGGCGTATCCGTTGGAAGAATAAATATAAATAGTATATAAATTAAAATGAAAAAATATGAATACACTAATAATGTATCTTTGGTTTGCTAGCAATAACTTACTTTTCGCCACTAATCTGCATTTCATACAATAATGTCCGGACATTCGCTAGATGCTCGTCGCGGGTGAACTTTCTCTGAAGGATAGCAAGCAGCAAGCAGCAAGCAGCAAGCAGCAAGCAGCAAGCAGCAAGCAGCAAGCAGCAAGCGGCAAGCTAGTGGAGAAACTCGACCATACTGATTTACTGCCATGTTGGTTTCAACTTAGTAATTAGAAGACTAAAATACCAATAAGAAATTCCATATCCGCAGTTTCTCTTAACCACTGTTGTCAATACCACTACTGAATGATTCTGATTGGAACCGGGTTATTTGAAGTACAGCGCAGCTTCATGATCATCCATTGTTGTCGGGTTCGATTTGTTTGCTATTTTACAAAGTTCCGTACTGTTTTTCAAATTAATTTAGGCTAGTCCCAGGGTTTAAAGCATTATCAGTTAGATACAATCCATTGGGGATTGGTGGGAATTGAACCCGGGACCTCGGGCACAGAAGTTCCATTCCATGTAATATGAATTCTATAACCTGAATAGATACCGGTACTGGGAGTACGGATATTTTAAATTTCCTATGTGTTCTGTAGACTGACATTTCTATATATGTATTTCCAACGACTGAATACGACCTGGTCCTATAACAGCCCAGGTGGGGGCTCGGCTCCCGGGAATGAAATATCACGATATCAATCTGTACTGTATTTCCTTCCAAATTATAACACGCTCGGGCGTGGCCCAAAACTGTTTTAAACACTACTTCAAACCTAGAATCACATAATCTTACAGCTAAAACACATTACTGTAGTGATTGGGGTAGATTATCCCATAGCCCACTGCAGGCCTATCTTTCAGCAACTGAACATGCTAACATTTGCTTCAGCCTTGGTTCTGGAATCAGCAGTCCTACTAAGAAGAAAACCAGATTATTTTATAAGTAACCAACAAATGCATGGATACAACACCAGACAGAAAAAATATAGTCATATTCCACAAGTAAACTCAACATTAATGAAAAATAGTGCCTACTATAATACAACAAAAATTTATAATAAAGTACCAGAAGACATAAAAGGTATTCAAGACTTAAACAGATTCAAGCAACAATATTAAAGAAGCATCTGATGGGAAAACAGTATTACAGCATGAAAGAGCATCTGGAAGAATAAGGAGATGTAAACACAACTATGACAACCGTGGTGCGAATGCACTTCCAACGGACTTACTTTTAAGTATCAAGTAAGATTTGAATCTGAGACCTCAGGGATCAAGCCCTACTACACCAGCCCGTTTCATTTATAAATGTTTTCGATGATGAATGTTTTGTTTATGATGATTTCAGCCATTTTCATCTATTATTTCCAAGAAACCCTTTTAAAACAATTACAACATTCTGTTGAAAACAACATTTTTTACACAAATATTTGGCATCGACCTATTTTTCAGATCCATGTGGTTCAGACTTCCAATTGGCCATAATGGGCAGCCATTGACCATTGACTATAAAGTTAAGAGTAAAGTGAAAGTATGACTATGAACTTACTAATTTAGGACTAAACACACAGACTAAACCGATCGTCCTGGTATACTACAAATTGTATTGTTATATTTTATTGTTTTGGGTCTGTAAACACATGATATGTGGTTTTAAAACTCATCCATTCATTTCTGCATTATGATAGTCCGGACATTTTAAATTTGGACAAGGGTCCTAACGAGAGGGAATCTACTGTAGGTCCATAAACTAACAATTATCTAATTCACATGCACCGTAAAAACTACCCAAAGCGAAAACGTATTAGATACTATTCATTTCAATGATTTCAAACAGATCTTTACTTATTTCAACCATCACAAAGTGATATCTCATTACTTATGCATGGGTTTCTTTCCAGGCTAAAAGTCGTGAAAAACGTCCAGTGAAATGAAAGCCGATTGGCAATGACTCCGAGAGTTTCATTGCCAAGTTCAGGGTGATGTGAATAACACCTAACACCGGTCTGACCTGTTTGGCTTCTACAATCTACATCTGTAGCAGAGGGACATATTTCCATTTTAATGGAAACCGACAGTAAACCGTTGATGAAGAGTTTGATCATCATGTGGTTCTACTTGCTTTCACATGGCAAAATTTCCAATAAGATTTATGAAACTTATGTTTGCGAGAGCTGGTGCCATAAAACGCTATAGGGCATCTGAATGCTATTTCATGATACTGTCATCATGGCCCAACCCGTATGTAATGTTCTCCTAGTTTTAATAAACGAGTATGTTTTGTAAAGCTGGACATAATGTTTGGTAAATTATGATCAGTCAGCCCACTCATATTGGGATTGCATATGTATCAGCCACAACTGATCCTTAGTAATCAATAAAATCAGATTATCTGGAACTGATTAATATTACCTGATAACATCATAGGAGTAATACCATAACCGTTTATGGATTTTGGATTTGTCCGCCACTTTAACTGTGGAATAACCTACTCCCGCGTTTTTTATTTACTGAACGGAATAATCTCATAAACTGAAAATCACCTAACCTAAACTGGAGGTTTTCCCCAGTTGAAATAGTGGCGGCTTTCTTCTGAAAAATACCCACTTACACAGATACCTAGTACCTATTGAAGCGGCCCCAACCGTGAACCTTGGAAATGCTGTAATACCCGCGTGATCAGTCCAGTTGATAACGCG